ATTATCTTGGCATCATCATATATTCATTAAGTCTGCAGAAGAATTTAAATAAGATATATACTGTTTCCAACTTGGCAATAAGCTAACATACCTTCCAGTCATTACCAATGCATCATAGTAGGAAGTTCCTTCCATAGTCTGGATATGTGCTTGCCAATCATCTGTTGGAGTCTTCCTATATACACTGTGAAGAATTTAAAGTTAACCTCATTTACAACAGTCATTCAAAGTCATTGTAAAAAATTTGATCAGAATTTTGGTGTTTTGTTTTATAAAAATTACTTTTAGTTTACAGTGCTTTCTCAAAGACAAGCTGTTTTCCTCACTCTGTTGAGGTATTACTCACACAAAGGTCCACAAATCTTAGGTTCACAGTGCAGTGAATTTTTGCATAATGTATTTACACATCTGTGAAACTGTCACTTAGATCCAATTATAGAACTTTCCAGAACCCCAGAAGACTTTCCTGGATCCCATCCCAGCTGACACCCTACCAAGGTAACCAGTACTCTGATATAGATAAGTCATGCAATCTCTTGAACTTCCTATAAATGGAATTCTGAAGTTTGTATTGTTTGGAGAATGGTATTTTTTTCCACTTATTGTATCTATGAAATTCATCCAGGTCATTGCATATAGCAGTGGTTCATTCTTTTTTATTGCTACACTTTTTCACTGTATATACCACATTTGTTTATTTATTCTTGTCAATGAACATTTTGTTTTTTCCAGTTTTAGATGCTTATGAGTATTGCTGTGAGGAATATCCCTTCTAAAAGAACCTTTTACACTATTTCTGTACTCCTTTTTCTTGAGTTATTGATGTTCCAGGTCATAGAGTTCATGACTATTTAGCTTTAAGAAATGCTACCAGTTTTCTTAAGTGGTTGTACTGATTTCCACTCCCATGAACAGCAACATAGGGGATCTTTCCTGCTCCACATCCTCGTTAGCACTTGTGCTGTTCTTTACTTTTTAGCCATTTAGTGGTGCCTCACTGTGATTTTGCTTTGCATTTTCCTGATTACTAAAGGCATTGAGCACCTTTTCTTGTGCAGGTTGGCAATAGGAATATTCTCTTTTGTGAACTGCTTAGTTTTTTTTTCATATTATCATCATAGGGTTTTCAAACTTTTCCTAATCAAGTTGTGAAAATTCTTTGTATGTTCTGGATATGATCCTTTGTAGAAATACATATTGTAATAGTCCCTGGATAGCCTTTTCACTCTTTTAACATTGTCTTTTGATTATTAAGGTTTCAATGAAGGCCAATTTATCAACCTTTTGTGCTTTCTGTGTCCCTATCAATGAATATTTTCTACCCTCAGTTCATTAAGATTTTACATATTTCTGTAGTCCTTTATTGTTTTACCTTTCACATTTATGTCTAAGATAATCTCTAGTTAATTTCTGTGCATGGTGTGAGGTAAGGATCAGTTTTGTTCTACATTGATGTTCCATTGATCCAGAATCATTGATTGAAAAGACCATCCCTTTCACATTGGAACTATACTGGCCCTTTTGTGGTAAATCAGGAGACCATATGTGCACAGGTCTGTGTTTGGACTCTCTATTCTACTGATTTGTTTATATGTGCACCAGCACTACATTATAAAAATCCCTGTTGTACAATATTGTAGATCCTCTGGCTTGTTCTTCTGCAGTTTTGTTTTAGCTATTCTAGTTTTTCTGGAGTTCCACTTAAATTTGAGAATCAGCTTGTCAGTTTTCACACACACACTCACATAGGAATACACACACAACCTGCTGGGATTTTAATTGGTGCTGAACTACACCTAGAGATAAAATTGAGAATTGACATCTTAACAATATTGAGTCTTTCAGTTGAAATACTTGGTTAATCCATTAAGTTATTTAGGACTTTAATTTCTCTCGGCAACACCATCTAGTTTTCAGTGCAGAGATCTTGATGGGATATTTGGTTTTTATAAAAATGATGATGAACTCAGATAAAAATGGATATGACTTCAATTTTCTTAAAAAAAATGTATACATGTAAATCCATGGCTAATTCATTTCAGTGTATGACAAAAACCACTGCAATGATGTAAAGTAATTAGCCTCCAACTAATAAAAATAAATGAAAAAAAAATATATATATATAAAATTAAAAAAAAATAAATAAATAAAAATTAAAAAAATAAATAAATAAATAAAATAAAAAAAATGGGCAGCATTTACAAAATATCCAGTTTTGATATTATGTAGGACTTGAAATCATGTTAAGATTTCTGAGACAGGAGTTTCAAAGTAGCTAAATATTCTTTAAAATTATTCAGCGCTATATGTTTTAATTGTGTGTGTCACATCTTATACCTCTGATTAAGTGGTAGCACTATTTATAACTTGATTTATTCTTCTGAGGCTGTGTCACCACCCTGGAAGTCTACAATCCATTTGTTAAGTGAGGGACTGAGAGGCTGAGCAGCTGACCAGGAGAATCAGTAGTTTCCACTTTCCATAGAGCAGGACACAGTTTGATTTTCAGCAGTTCATCTCTGTGTCATAAAAACTTTGAGGTCATTAAACCCAAACATGAATTTCAGAAAACATGAATTTTTGGAAAAATAAGGTTGTGATTGTAAGATGGCAAAATATTTCATCAATTTAGGTTAAGAATTGTCTAGTTGTACAGTTAGCATATTATAAAAATTGGCTGAAATCACACCTGAAGTGGCTATTAATTTCCTAGAATCTTCTTGTTCAGTCACTAAGTCATGTCTGATTTGAACTGCAGCACACCAAGCATTCCTGTCCTTCACTATCTCCCAGAGTTTGCTCAGACTCATGTTTATTGTGTTGATGCTGCCATCCAACCGTCTCATCCTCCATCGTCCCCTTCTCCTCCTGCCTTCAATCTCTCCCAGCATCAGTGTCTTTTCCAGTGAGTTTGCTCTTCGCATCATATGATCAAAGTACTGGAGCTTCAGCTTCAGCATCGGTCCTAATGAACATTCAGGGTTGATTTCCTTTAGAACTGACTGATTTGTTCTCCTTGCTGCCCAAGGGACTCTCAAGAGTCTTCTCTAGCACCACAGTTCAAAAGGATCAATTCTTCAGTGCTAACCCTTCTTTACAGTCCAACTCTCACATCCATACATGACTAATGGAAAAACCATAGCTTTGACTATATAGACATCTGTCAACAAAGTGATGTCTCTGCTTTTTACTAAGCTGTCTAGGTTTCTCATAGCTTTTCTTCCAAGGAGCAAGCATCTTTTAATATTGTGGCTGCAGTCACTGTCAGCTCAGTCACTCAGTTGTGTCCAACCCTTTGTGATCTCATGGACCAAGGACTGCAGCACACCAGGCCTCCCTGTCCATTACCAACTCCCGGAGTTTACTCAAACTCATGTCCATTGAGTCATGATGCCATCCAACCATCTCATCCTCTGTCATCCCCGTCTCCTCCTGCCCTCAATCTTTCCTAGCATCAGGGTCTTTTCCAATGCGTCAGTTCTTCGGATCAGGTGGCCAAAGTATTGGAGTTTCAGCTTCAGCATCAGTCCTTCCAATGAATATTCAGGAATGATTTCCTTTAGGATTGATTGGTTTGATCAACTTGCAGTTCAAGTGTCTTCTCCAACACCACAGTTCAAAAGTATCAATTCTTCGGCAATCAGCTTTCTTTATAGTCACTTTATAGTCACTTTTGCAGTCACCGTAGTCTGAATTAAGTTTAAATATACCCCAGATAATAAGAAATTAGTGTATACATGTATATTATTGTATTAGTATATCGGGATATGTAAATCCACTGTGAGTGGAAGCAAACTTGATCATTTCTTTGAACATCATTAATTGCCTCAACACATACTTAGTATTTTCTCAGTGATTTTTTGGAGAAAGCAATGGCAACCCACTTCAGTTCTCTTGCCTGGAAAATCCCATGGATGGAGGAGCCTGGTAGGCTGTAGTCCACGGGGTCGCGAAGAGTCGGACATGACTGAGCGACTTCACTTTCACTTTTCACTTTCATGCATTGGAGAAGGAAATGGCAACCCACTCCAGTGTTCTTGCCTGGAGAATCCCAGGGATGGAGGAGACTGGTGGGCTGCTGTCTATGGGGTCGCACAGAGTCGGACACGACCGAAGTGACTTAGCAGCAGCAGCAGCAATGATTTTTATCGCATTTATTTTTCATTATAGACCACTTTATTATGGCAGAAGTCTGCTTTTGCTTTTTAGTTTTATTTTAATAACTTATTTCAGGCTGCTGTAACAAAAATACCATAGGGTTTGGAGCTTAACCTACAGACATTTATTTAACACAGTTCTGGAGACTAAGGCTGAGATCAGTGTGGCTAAGATCTTGTGAGAGCCCTCTTCCTGATTTCTTCACAAGATGGAGATAAAGAACTCCTATTTCTCCAGTTTTTGTAAAGGATATTAATCCCATCATGAGGGCTGCACCCCTATGACCTCATTAAACTTAATCACATCCTAAAGGCCCCACCTCCAAATACTATCACACTGGGGATTAAGACCTCAGCATAGGAATTTGGGGAGGGACGCATTTAGTCCATTGCCATCTCCTTCTGCTGTAAAGTTTAATATCACTAATACCAAAACCTGAATAGAAGTTGTGTTAACATAGTAGTAGTTCACTTGTTCTAATATTAGAATATACTTTGACTATGAAAATTTAACAATATTAAAGCTAGCTAATTTCCTACTGTCAAGTGTATTAGAATTAGAATTAGCAATTAGAATATTAGAGCAATAAAATTCTAAAAATAGCTAAGACTAACAAGCATTGTCTGTATTCCAGATGCTTCACGTATATAACCACATGTAATTCTCATGAACACACAATGAAATGGGTAATACTCTTATCCTCATTTAAAAAAAATTTAATAGAAGGATTTAATTTCTTTCCATTTTATCTTACATTTCTGATTGTATTAAATGATTCACATTTATTCAAAGAAAAACAATAGACAATGTACTGAAAATTCTCAATATATTTTTTTTAATAGAAAAACAGTGTCCTGTACTGAGAACAGAGGGACACCAGTTTACACAAGACAACAGAGATAAACTTGAAGTTTCAGGTAAGCATGATAATCTTTCACAAGGAAGCATTTTTGTGTAAAATTATAACCAAACATGTTGTGTCTTGTAGATGACTCCTTGACATTGTAATTTAAGATGATAAGACCAATATCAATAAATTAAAAGCAAAGCAGGCAGATGATGTACAAAAATTTCTGAGAGCAGAATTCTACATTGTTTAACCTGATGACCAACAACTCAACCTCTTGGAGAACAAAAGTTATTTGAAATTATAAAAGTTGTGTCTATTGTAGAAAATGTGAAATAAAGAAAAGAAAATGTATGAAAAAGAAGATCTCAATACCCCAATATGGCGATGGCACTCATTTTGGAACGTACCTACCCGTCTTTCTCTTTCTTTTTTCCCTTTCCTCCTCCATTTTCTCTCTCCACTTTCCTCCACCCTGACTCATGCACACGTAATCATAATCCATAAACTGCATTTGAAATCCATGCATTTCCCCACATGAACATATATTTTTCTAAAGCATGATATTTTTAAAAAGGCTGCTTAGATTTCAACTGGATGGGTATAGTGCTTTTCATTTAACTAGTTTTCTGTCTTTAGCTATCAGAGCTGGTACAATAAGCTACTCTGATTATTTATTTAGAATCATTCCTAGATCAAAGAAAATTAATACTTGAATCTTTTGAAATATATTTTGTCCTCCTATATCCTAAAGAGAGGAAATGGAAATCAAGAAATTTATGATTTAACCTGAAACAATCAATCTGCAGATAATGACTACAAAAGAATCCTATTTAAAAATCAGTATCTCTGTGAGTTTACTATATTTAATAAAACTGCTGGATTAAATCATTTGTCACACTTCACAGGTTTTGACCTAGGAGAGCGCTTTTCTCTGAGACATATGTTTTGTGAAGGTGATAAAACCTGTTTCAAATTGGGAAGTTCACTTCTTATTAGAGACACCATGTAAGTAAAACAATAATTTTTCTTAATGTTTTTTAATATTACATAAACTACTCTCTAAAGAGATTCCAAATAACTTGTTTAAAAATAAAAATTATCTTGACAGTATCACAATCACTTGAATGCTGCAGTAAATGTGATGTTTTTATACTGTGGTTTTTAATAATATTTGCAAATTGATCTTGTTCTGTGGTATTAATTTACATGTCTAGATAGAGGCATGATTATTATAAAATAGTAATTAAATCTATTTTTGAAGAAGTATTATTTATGTTTAAATAGACTAACCAAACTTAGATTTTAAAATGTGAATTTGGAACATAAGACCAATGTAGACTTAGAGACAAAGACTGATATTTATTATATTTATTATACATGCTTCATGCATAGAGATAAGCTTTATGATAAATTAAAAGAATTTAGCCCTTATTCACTGTATATATTGTATAAACAGTAGGATAAAAAAAACTTTTTCTTTTTTTTTTGATCTTGATACTTATTTCAATAAAAACCTAAGGCTTTTTTTATTGTTAGTTATCTTTATTACACTTTTTCTTCTGATAAATGAGATTAAAAAAAATCACTTTCCCTTTAAATATTGCCAATTGGTCAGCAATTATACAAGGCAAGAATTCACCATATGGTTGACTGTAGGTAACTCGCGGATGGATCCAGAGTAAATCAGAAAGCCTGAGTCATCAAGAAGGCAGACAGAACATACATGGTTCTGATATTCAGCCTTTGAGTCCAAGATGAACATTCCAGTGTATGACTACACTGCAATGAATAAAGCATAAAATTCTGCTTGGTTTAATATGCAACACAGATGTTTTTGTGTGAAAACACACATGGATGTTTCCACTTCCTGGTGGGTATCTAATATTTGAGTTACTGGGTAGAGTTGTTGAAAATCTAAGCTTTGAAATTCTCAAAGAGAAATAGCATTAATTATCTTGTTGCCCATCCTCAGATGTATCGTGTAAAGCAGGTTCCTAATTCCTTGAGAAAATTTTCTTTTAAACTTTCTATTTTGTGATCCTTTAGATACTTTTAGTTTAATGATATGGTTCCTTAAAAGTAAACTGCTCATTAATTGGTAAGAAATCAGAGGGCTAAGAGAGAGGGTAATTTGATATCAGGGGATGTAACGGTGATTGTCTGCTAGAGAAATTCAGCAGATGTCACTCCACAGACCTGTGCTATCGTGGGTGTCTTAAGCCTGAAAGTGCCTTCACACGCATGCGTTAAACCTTCAGGGCTTGACAGGTCCCTGTCTGGGTGCTCATATGCAGGAAAGAAGAGTCAGTTTGTGTCTCATATATTTCATATGTATTGCTTTAGATGTTTCTTAAACATAAATTTAATTAATGAATTTAAGAAAGGCAGTAAATCCTTTTCCAAAAATTAAAATGTATGTTCTCTCTCACCTTCTGATGATTTAAACCCCTCTAATTCTGGCCAAGTGGCCAAAGTATAGGAGTGACAATTTTAAGCAGCTACATTGGAAAACTTGTTGCCACATTTAGACAGTGCCACTCTCTTTTGAGTATGTGTGGTAATAAGTACTATGTATGACTTGAAATTTATTTTTTGATTTTGGGCTCTAAATCACTGTGCAACTGCTGGACAATCAATGTAAGTTAATTCTCCAGCTCTGCACAGGAGAACTCTGGTCCCTCCACTGCAGGAAACTGGAGGGGATCTGGTTAAGCTGACAAGTGTCAAGTAGCTTGGCTCATCTCCACTTACATTTTGCTCTGTGAGCCAAAGATGCTGGGATGCTTCTCTCACATGATGCCATCTTGGTTTTTCAATGAGACTGGAGTAAAGTTGCAGCTATTTATATATTTGTAAATGAGCTGCCTTGCAGAATCAGCATGTGAAAAGGCAGATGCTAATTCACATGGAAATTGGGACTTTTTCTATGCCCAAGCTTGTTTTTTTTTTTATTGTTCTGGCGTCTTCCAGGTTTAGGAGGGGAGATATCTTATGAACTGTTGGTCATTACCCAGTGGACACTTAGTGCCTTTAGCCTGGCTTAACCTGGGGACCCAAAGGCAGCTCTTGCAAGGGTCCTTCAAGTAAACATTGCTGTCCCCAAAAAGGTTGGACAGGTTCAGGAACATCTGACCAACTTTCTATATTTGGTTTTCTTTTCAACTCATGTCCATCTTCAGTATTCCTTAGGATAGGAAATGATAAGTACTGGGGGCTTGCTACCTAGTTTTCTAGAAACATCTTTCTGGAGGAAATTCCCTTAGCATTTTTTTTATCTACAAGTTACATATCTCTGGTTATGTAGAAGAAATAATGATTTTCTATACACATTGAGAGCAATATTCCAGATGATCATGCTCTGATTAAATTGTGTTTCTGTAATTATTAGGGAAAGTGGTGAAGTTTTGAGAGAAAATTACATAAAACATGCATATGGTGTGGAGCACCTTATTTATTTGGTATAATATAATTCTTTCATTCGTTGTTTGTATATAAGCAGGTTTTAAATAAAAATGTCTTAGTAGTTGAATACATAAATTTAAAATGTAACAGAAAAAGTGAATTTCCTGATTTATTATTGAATTCAAGGATGGTTAAGAGCCTTATCTCTCAGGTTTGGTGTCTGTACAGAATAATGTGTTGAGAAGGATTCTGAGGCCTTATTGAGTTCAGTATGTTGGAGTGTTATGGCCCAATAGCAAAAAGAGGGGGGAAGGGAGGGTTCACATATGTCTCAAGTCTGTAGCTTCTCTAATTTTAGGATGATATCTATGAGTTGGTGGCTTTTGCTACTGAAAATAGTTCCCAAGAAAGGGGGAAAATGAGGCTATGTGTGAAAAAATAATCAGCACAGATTAATAAGATTTTATGCACTTGGATGGTGTAGCTAGAAACAATTGGAATAATTGACAGATATGGGCCCCTTTGCTTTTGTTACAAACAAATACATCTCCAGTGAAGAGGAGTTGTCTCTGTCCCTTTCATTAAACTGGTGGTTGCGTTCTGGAAGCAAAGGTCTATTTAATTTCACAGCTTTACATGGAGAAAATGAGCTTGTGGGGGCTCTTCTCACTTGTGTCTTGTAATACATAATACTCCTCAGCAATAGGAAACCCCATACTATATACATAGAAAATGTATAGAGTTTTTAAGGAGATTTTCAGTTTTTTTCTTTTTAAATTGTTCTGGCATCTTAAGCCTTAACAGTTCCCTTGGAAATATTCCTAAATATGGGAAAACTGTTATGTGTATTGCATAGCATCATCAGTCTTTGCTACTATTGAATGATTTACGCTATGGGCATATCTTTTCTACACAAGCCTTCACATTACGCTCAGACTTTTATTACTGTATTATATTAAACAACACTACAATGTACCAGAAGGTTGTTTCCCCTGTTTTTCTAACTAAAGAGGCCAGTTAAGACCCACCACTTACTCATCCATCGCCTCCTTGTTTATTCTTCACATGTCCATTCATTCTGTAAATGTTTATTGAGCCAAAACAATCCATAAGATTGATTTTTCAAGTAGAAATCCAAGCTTGTTTTTAGAGATCTTGCTCTATACTTATAATTATGTTCCATTATTTTTTACCCATCTATTTGCATTTGATATGCAGATATCACCCAATTTCTTCAGTGGCATTAGAATTTTTTGTTATGAAGTTCTGTGTTTTAACTCAAAACTTGTAACAATTATAAATAAAAGTTGTAGCTTACTGTAAAAGGTATTTTAGGGGTTCCTGAAATTTTCTTTTCTGATAAGGGTTGAATAAGAAGGAGTATTCAATAAGTCAGTGAAATGAATCCAGTGTAGTCCAGAGCTCATCCTTTCATTTGACATTTACTAGCTTACTATGGACTGAGCACTTCCTTAAGCTCTGGGATTGCACTGGTGAAGGATGCAGGTGTAATCTTGCCTTCCCAGAGCCTGCTGGAAAGATACACAATGCAAAGAAACCTATGCTTTGTTCTTGCCTTGACCTGAGAGGAAACTGGGCTGTGTTCTCTCATCTGAGCAAAGGCTGCCGGACTCAGCTCCCCTCGTAAAAGCTACGCCTCCTTAAGCACCGCACACAGGTTGATTTTCAGTATTTTCATTCCTTCCCTCATAAGAGCCAGTTTTCCCACCATGTTTAATTTTTATTACTCTTTGGGACCTCTCCAAGTTCTCAAAACCAGTTAAATTCTAAATCTCAAGATTACATTCAGAACTCTGACACTAAAGCTTCTCATTGCTGAAAATTTTAGGAGGATTACTTCATCATTTCATTAAACTATAGAAAATGAATATTTATGCATTCCTTGGATTTCATTTGGGGCATTCTATATAGGAAGTTTCCCATGTAATGAAATGTGACTCAGTAAAAAGCTGTCCAGCTGTTTACATGAGATTGACTGACAGCTGCACATAACTCTGCCAACCAGTCCAGGCTCATATTGCTCACTGTACAGCAAGTCAATGAAGTGAGGGAAGATGGTGGACTCGTGTCCCAAAGAACCATCTTACCTGAGGTGGAGTTCAGGCTTCTTTTCTACTGAAAGGGGAGGGAGTGTTGCTGGTCGTTGCAAACTTCTTGGTGTTGGAATCCTTTGTTCTCGCAGCATCCACAGGTCTGGTTTCATGGTATTCCTATAAATCCTCAACAAGACAAACGTTATTGTCTGTTCTGCAACTTTTTATCTCTGTATGAATGGAAAAGTACTTTACCTTTAAAGGTTAGAGTCATAAAAATGGGCTATTGTGTATATTGTGGGCTATAGGCAACTTTTTTTTTTATAGATTAACTTATAGCAAAAGCATTAGAACCTTTAACAAAAGTTAAAGAAACAGATCCAATATAGAATCATATTTGTTCTTCTCTGTTATAATTTTTCTGTCACTATATTTCCTTAACTATAGTTTGGCATACCAAAAATGTACAGTGAGTCATTAAATCATTCATTCTTAAGACAAAGGAAAAACCTGATAGGTTCACAATTAAAAATTTTTAAAAATCATACA